AAAAAAAAACAACCTTGATATTTCTTAGTTTTATCATTTACCCATAATCCCAAACTGTAACAAACTGTAAAGATTCCTTTTTAATATTTGCATGTCGCCGGGCTTTGTTTGAGAGGATGTTTAACGGCTCGGTTAGGAGGGTCCGTGTTGAGCAAATGAAACGCTGCGGGGCCGTCCCTACAGATCAATAGGTGGGTCAGAGTCAGCTGCAGTGAGGAAGAAAGAGAGGATTTCCTTTCATTCCTTAAAACAAATTCCTTCATTGTAAGCTTGATGGTCAGCTAACATGTGAAGTGTTTAGATGACTGTTAGTGTAAAATGCGTCAAACTATTGTTTTGGTGCCAACTGGTCCCCAGTGACTCACATCCTGTAGTCTGATGTGTTCTGTTCACTGGCACACAGCTACAGTGTATTAAAGTTTAAAATCAATCAAGCCTGAATATCAGACGTCTGTATCAAATGGCAAGTGTCACAATTTTCTGTTAAGAGCTGAGATTTATGTTAAGATTTTATCTATTTGTCTAAATGATAACAATAATATTATTCACTGTGTCTTTGATCTGTGCAAGAACCACAACACAAGGAGGGAAGAGTTGTAGTTGAGTCTTGATGCATGCTCAATCATCCAGCGAAGGAAATCCCAGAAAGTTGACGTGGCGTTTTAATCCAACCGACTTCTTCAGTCTGTGGATGAGGTGATAGTATTTGTTAAAACTTATATGGCATACTGTTATATATGATGTGAGTTTACTTGATCACAAGTAATAACCTTTATTTCCTTTTATTTTTAACAGGCCATCTCAGTTGTGCGTTCAGTGTTACTTTTAGTGCAGGAAGTGGTTCAACCCCACTCTATCTGATCAAGACCTGCTTGTGGTTTTTCTCCCTCACTTTCTTGCACATTTACATGGCTCTGACACTGTGTAAAAAGTCACAGAAAGCAGGTGCTCACTGCATTTCATACCCAGACACAGTATCTAATTACAGATGCACTGCAACTGTATTTGAAGCTGCTGAATGAATCCTAATGAATCCTTTTTAAAAAGTGTTAACAATTACATTTTCAAGCCAAGTAGTAAAATGTACTTTATGAGAAGCGCTGTATATCAGTGTATTTTGTACAGTTAATTCATAGAAATTTCATGTTTTTAGACCCTTTCACTTTCTTCCTGAAATAACTGTAAAACACGTTAAAAAATGCGTAAAATGTGACCGTTGCACACTGCACTGCACAGGAGGGACCATGATTCATGTGCAGTAAAAGCTCGAAAGCAAAACATAAAAATATTCAGATATATTTAAGTGCAAATATAGGTGTATAATCAGCATAATCACACCCAGTCTTACTATTTCATAGTCCTGTAAAATAACCTGGTGTGCACATAATTTTTGGCAGAAACAGGCTGGGTTTTTGAAAACGATTTGTTCATGCATTTGTCTGTGTTTCTTAAATCAATCTGTAAAAAGACAGTCTGTTGAACCCCAGTGACCTGTGCGTAGGTGCTGTGTATGTCATCGCACTGGCTGCTGCTGAAAACATATAAAACACAGAATCTCTTTCTGAGATGTTAAAAGATGTGTGAGTCTCTGCGACAGCGCGGGGTTTTAAAGGGAAGTGTGTTCAAGAGAAGAGAGAGCAACAACCACAATACTGAAAAGCAGTAGTCTGGTTGAGTTCCCCCTTGCCCTTTGCAGGGTGTGAAAACACTAGTTTATTGCCATATTTGGAACTTCTCTAATTTTTGTTCTTAAAAAATAAAAGATGCTCCTGAGAGCCAAGAAAACAAAAAGGTTTTGATGTTTTATTTTATTTTAAACAGTTTAAGAATCGTATTGTAGTATTGTAGCTTAAAGAAACACGCTTTTCAATTGTCAATTGTTATTTCTTTTTGATCTTCTGCTCCTGGTAGTGGA